TTCAAACTCGAAGTTCGGCTAGCTCAAAGCTTATCGCATATCAGCAGCGACGGCACAAATGCTTTAATTGAGGAATTTGACAAATCCAGCCGAACTGAGCTTGACTTTAAAAATCGAATGGTTGAGCTTGATAAATTATATCATGAAGCTGAACAGGATTTATATGATAAATTTTGTCTTAAGGTTTTTTGTGTAATAAAAAACTGCTAAATAAAGCGCTTTGTGAAAGAGTTGTCACTCGTGGCCGCTGCGTATTTCCCTTTCTTTTTCAGAAAATGCAATCTCAACTCAGTGTAAATTTCTATTTTACGAAACGCGTAGAGACCTTCACCGTGCTGATAAAAATGGAGAGGAATCTCAATTGCATTGCACGTGCTTATTTTCGGTTCTTACTTAATAGCGTAAAGTAATGATTTTCTTGGGATGATATTTTTAAGCTGTTTGCTTGGAAGCAATTCTGACACCCTCGAAATTTATACAATACAAATCCATGCCCTGTAGCTGTTCAAAACTTTTGATCCAACAAATATGTGAGGCTGGACAGCATAAATGCATAATTTAACTCCCCATATTTTGCTATAGGCAAATTTTAATGGCACATGACGAGTGGCTATAGAAATACAGCACAAATGCCTTGCCTCGATGACGTTGTGTTGTTTTGTCAAACATCAGCATCGCATCCTCAACCTGAAAATTATTCACTGATGAATAACCATTTTGTGCCATTTCAGTCCTTTCTCAACGAAGAGCACTGAAGCATTTAAGACCGAAAATGTTTCCAAAACTCTCCGCGTAAATGGATTTGTAAAAGTCCGAAGCCAGAAATCAAAACGAATATCAGTTCTTTACTGGCAGCACAGAAGGGAGTGATCCACGCATTCAGGACCTGTTAACACGGAAAGTACAACATCACATGCGTCCTAGTGACAACTATTGGTAATGCAACTTGCTGGCCTCTAAATCTTATAATCTTTGCCAAACAAAAGGGTGAGAGTTCGTAACATCATAAGGCTAAGCCTGTGTTTTTAAAGATAACGGTTCTACCAAATGCCTGCTGCATAATTTCGAGGCATTTTCAAAGTAAACAAGCAAAAGAGCCAATTTAGCTAGCTCCCTTCAAACTGCTGTGGCAAAACAGTGCCCATTTCCGAGCCCGAAATGTTAGTGATAAATTAATCTCCTTATAACTCGCTGAACTGTCCCAGTGATGAGCTGGTGCTGGCCCATATAGCATTTCAAGATGAGAAAATGAACCACCTTCATCTTACTTCTGGAACAATCCCTGAGAGAAATAAGCACCATGCCAAAGCCTTGTCACTACTGACAAAATGTTATCATTCCGGTCGCATGTTAGTGATTCCTATCACTCAGCAAAATGAAAACGAAGAATGGCTTTAATCTTGGTTAACAGTTAATTGGACCATTTCTGCGTCGTCGAGACAAATACTTTAAGTATTTGGTGCCGCTGGCTCCAGCTGCGATGAAAGAAATGCAAAATTAATGAAAAGTTGAACCTTTCCGTACTGTTCGAAGTAATTCTTCATATCCTCAAGCGTCGAAGATGCCGACAGTCCACCAATAAAAACTTTCTTCGTTTTAATTATCATCTGCAAGAAAATCTCGGAATGTGTGATAGACTTGTACAAAGCCAAAACTGTACTAGTCATGAACATCGCCCGAACTATCAATATAAGATTCCTAATGATACTGAGAAGCAGTTCCTTCATGCAAAGCTGCAGCTGTGCTAGGCCCTCACGTCCCGAATGAGCTGTCGCTCAACTTTACTACCCTGTATCTGAACCACATTTCATTAAAAAAAAAAAAATCAAAGCTTCTTAATTATGTCAATTTAACATTGATACTACTGTCATTTCTCAATCAGAAATCAATCAAACGCGCTCGGAACATACACATACACACACATGTACACACACACACACACACACACACACACACACACATACACACATAGGGTCTCAACAATAAGCGTTTTGTGTAACTGTTGCAACAGAAAATGCATAAAAAAGCGAGAATATGGAGAATGTAAGCTAAAGCAGAAAATTTTGGTCCACTTAATATGCATCTAACCGCTTTTAATAGCAACCTAGTATACGGCGATATTTTAAATGGATTTTTGCTTTCCTTTCGGACAGCACGCGACGCAGTTGATGCTTGATGCGGTCTGTATCCGAAGTAAACTTTATGTTTGCAGAAAATAAGCTAATAAAATTCTAATGCCATACCATTCAAAGTTATCAAACATTATTCAGTAATAATGAGGCTTTTCATATGAGGCTATATCACTCGAAATAGGGAAAGGCATACATTACAAACTATGCTAAGCAAAAGCTGATTTTAAGACGAACAATAACACCTCCGTGGCACTGATAGCTTCACACCGACAAATAGTATCAAGAGCTTCATTAATAAGGGCGGATGATCTTAGCTACCATCCAGAAAACTCTAGCAGCATTCTGACAAGGTGAGAAAAATAGGTAAGCGCAAGCACTTTGTCGAATTTAAATTTCTGCTAGAATTACCCGTATGCCATGGCAAAAACTGTGACCGCACGCCGACAAAAAATCTAGATATTGTAAAGACTGCACTAAACTGACAAGGAACTAAAGTATTTTAAAAATTAAATTATTACCTCC